TTTTTTTTTTTTTTGAGATGGAGTCTCACTTTGTCACCCAGGCTGGAGTACAGTGGCACGACCTTGGCTGACTGCAAGCTCTGCCTCCCGGATTCACGCCATTCTCCTGCCTCAGCCTCCAGAGTAGCTGGGACTACAGGCGCCCACCACCATGCCCGGCTAATTTTTTGTATTTTTAGTAGAGATGGGGTTTCACCATGTTAGCCAGGATGGTCTGGATCTCCTGACCTCACGATCCGCTCGCCTTGGCCTCCCAAAGTGCTGGGATTCCAGGAGTGAGCCACCGCGCCCGGCCAGGGCTTTCTGTTTCTACAGTGACTGATGCCAAGTCTGAGATGATCTCTGAACAACAGGAAACAGCTGATTAAAATCCAGCACGCAGGCAAGATGGAGAAAAATTTCTTAGTCAAGTGATGTAGCAGATGAGCCAATGTCTGCATTGTGTCTTTGTCTTATGCAAAACACGGAATGAGAAAAGTGACCTCTTTCTGTCATTGCTCTCTCTGCACAGATGCCCCCCTCGGAAGCCTGGAGAACGGGACAGGACCAGAGGACCACGTTCTTCCGGATCCTGGACTTCGGTACAGGTTAATGTTGAGAAACCCAGTTACCTTTGGCATTGAAACGTCCTATTCACGGCTGTGCATTTTATTCTTTTTTAAAGATAGGAGTGCACCTGCTAGGATTAAGGGGCAAGGGCTTACTTCACTTTTATGTTCAGATTCAGTCTTTTTTTTTGAGTCGCCCAGGCTGGAGTGCAGTGGCTCAGTCTTGGCTCACTGCAACCTCCGCCTCCCGAGTTCAAGCCATTCTCTTGCCTCAGCCTCCTGAGTAGGTGGAGTTAACGGCACACACCACCATGCCCAGCTAATTTTTTTGTAGTTTTAGTAGAGATGGGGTTTCACAGTGTTGGCCAGGCTGGTGTCGAACTCCTGACCTCAGGTGATCTGCCCACCTCGGCCTCCCAAAGTGCTGGGATTATAGGCGTGAGCAGATTCAGTGTTTACATCATAGAAGATGCAGTTGCCAAAGGTCTTAGGTCATTACTCCCTCAGAGTGACTGTATAAGAGATGGTAGATGCCAAATGTCAACACCTTTTGGGGCATATCTGGGTGCCTCCTCTTTCGTTATTTTCTTAATTTAAATATTTGTTGATATTTGATAACAAGATTTGACAATCCTAGTGTTGTATATTTAAGCCATTTAGATATTACATAGCATTTGTGAAGTGCTCAGTATGCTGTCTGGCAGGTAGTAAGCACTATATAGGTTTTCTTTTTCTTTTTTCAAATAAAATATCTCAAGGGGAAATTGAGTTGTCCCAAGTTGTTTGATGTTTTTTTCTGTTTTTTTTTTCTTTTTTTTCTTTTTGAGACAGAGTCTCATTCTGTCGCCGAGGCTGGAGTGCAGTGGCTCGATCCCTGCTCACTGCAACCTCCGCCTCCTGGGTTGGTGCCATTCTCCTGCCTCAGCCTCCGGAGTGGCGGGGACTACAGGCACCCGCCACCACGCCCGGCTAATTTTTTGTATTTTTAGTAGAGACGGGGTTTCACTATGTTCACCAGGATGGTCTTGATCTCCTGACCTCGTGATCCACCCGCCTTGGCCTCCCAAAGTGCTGGGACTACAGGTGCGTGAGCCACTGCACCTGGCCGGTTTT